TTTCTTTCTTTCCATATTTCTGAGCTATTCTGGGAACATATACGGCTATGCAATGTCTTAGGCTCATGTAAATAATAATATGTAAGATACTGTTAACTTCTCCACCCATTTTCTGGTAGAAGTGATCAACTACTCAAATACTTACATTCAGAGTAGACAGACGACGGATGGATAGGTAAACAGCAGACAGATAGATAAATGCGGATAAACAGGTAGATCAGTAATTTTAGTGCCCTGAAAAAATTTTTTTTAATTGATTGTTCTTTGGATTGAGCTGACATGAGAGAAGTCATTTAGCTCCTTCACTGAGTTTTATGCTCATAAGAAAGTCCCCACTGTTTGCAGGGAATGTCTGATGCTAGAGAAATCACCTCTAAAGTGATACTCAAGGCTCTGTCCCTGCTGGGGACCACCCTCTGTCCTCAGTTGGGTTATAAGGATCGTTTTCCATGTCTAGCTATTTCTGTTCAGGATTCTATTGGTCACCCTGACATCTGAGTGGTTGCCAGGCCCTGCATGCTTCCCAGACTGCATGGGACTGAAGAGGGAAAGTCAGGGTTGAGATTCCTCAGCCACCAACACCCCCACCACACCACCCTCCCAGTTCACTTCAGTTCTGTTTACTCCAGAGCCCTGGGATAGGTAGAAGCTGGGAACCTAAGCAGATTGCAGCTGGTCCTTGGGATCTGAGACAGTTCCCCTGCCCCTAGCCCCTGTTGACATTAGCTATCAGGCCCAGAACAATCTTAAGGTACACTTTGCAGTCAGCAAGCTTACCTTGTGTTAAATTTTTACCAGTGGAAATCGAGTCGTGTTTACCCTCAGCTCTGTGGCAAGCTCTGTACAAACAGGACCTGTGACACTCTTTAGCTCACGTGTCACAGTGTGACTTCCTGTCACACTTCCCTTGGCAGTGAGTGCTGAAGGGAAGGCTGGAGTGTCAATCACCTTTCATTTGCTATGATAAAGTAACTGAGGGGTCGGCTTACAAAGAGGAAAGGTTTTTACTGTGCGTGGCGCTTTCTTCTGTTGTTCATGAGACAGAATATCTGAGCAGAGCAATGTTAAAAGAAAGGAAGGAAGGAAGAAAGGAAGGAGTTTTTTCCTCATGGAAGTTCAGTCCCTCATGGAGGGAAGGGAAGGCGCCGTGTTCTGAGCATGAGGCGGCTGGTCACAGTGCATGCGCCATCGAGGTCTACAGGACGTTCGCTCACAGAGAAGCACAAAAGGTTTGTCTCCTAGATGACTCTAATGCTTATTCTCTCAAAGAACACGCCACTAAACACCTGCAAGGTTCCCCCCCCACACACACACACACCTCCCAACAGCACCTCTACGGGCCTTTCTAAGTCCTCCAGACCAGCCTTGAACTAGTCTTCCTGTCTCTGGGGCAACCAGCACTTTACCTCAAAAGCTTTGTCTTCACTGTTTTCAGTGGGCTGGTCCAGGTTCCCTAAGTGTGGTTGTTTTGACCTTTGGCCTAGACAGAGACTAAGGGTTTCCCTATCATGGATACTGCTATTAGTGAGTCTGTGGGCCCAGGATTTTTACCAGCTGTGTGGGTGCCTCAGCAGCCCAACCTCAAGATGCAGGGACTGGGGGCCAGCCCTGGCACTCAGAGATTCTAAAGCTCTTCCTCCTTCATCCACATCCTGCAGCAACGAGCAACCTGGAAGAGCCAGGGTAGGGATGGGAGTCCTCCCAACCTCCTGCCAAGATGGCCATTGTAGTCATGGCTGGAGCAGCCTTCCAGGCTCAGTCCCAGAAAGTCCACGGACAAGGGGTTGTGCTTGAACAGATAAAATCTCAGCCACGTGGGCCCTGCAGGAGGCCTAAGGCCTCTACTTCCACAGATAAGAACCCAGCCACAGCCATCTCAATTCGAGAGCAATTTAAGATACCATGCTAATTAAAGGGTCGGTAGGCACAAGACTCAAGTAGATTTAGATCCAGAAGTTAACAAAGATCAGATGTCGAGGAGCGGGTGGGGTGGGGAGGGTGGGGGTGGGGTTCCATGTAAACAGAACTTGACCCCACACCCTGCAGCCCAGCAATTGTGAGAGATTTTTTTTTCTTTAAATTATTTTTTAAGGCATGGCATAACTTTTACCATCAGATATAGATACATAGTGCCTAATAGGGGCAGTGATTGCGGTAGAGGCTAACGACTTCTCATTCACCTAAAATCCCTATAATTTGCTACAGAGGTCTGAATGACGCCTATGTTTCTTGATTTAAAAAAAAAAAAGTCCCCAAATGAATGGCTTTCTTTTAATCAAATCACGGAGAAGCAAACACCAGCAAGACCACCCAGGCCCCGGCAGCAGCTCTTCCTGCAGTCTGGCCTCCTGTCATTCTTTGAAGGCAGAGTTTCATCTTGTAATTAGAGGGTTACTTTGTTTCTTTAATGTTGTCATGGGGAAATCACCTTGTGGATCCTGCTGGCTGCCAACACCCGAGGGCCTTAAGTGAAGGGGCCACAAGGAATCTGGGGGTCTCCACCTAACCTGCCAAGGGGGTAGGAAAGAGGAGAGGTGCCTAGACAGGTACAGGTGTGTTTGTTTGCACGCTTGTGAGCATGTATGTGCATGTGTGTGTGCATGTGTGTATGAGTGTGCATGTATATATATGTACAGGTATGAATGTGTATGTACATATGTGTCTTTACATGCATGTGTGTGCACGTGTGCATGCATGTGTATACGAGTATGCATTTGTGTACAAGTGTGAATGTGTATGTGCACATTCGTGTATGTGTATGTGCTGGGTGGGGTGTCATCAGCTGCCAGTCCTACTGAGGATCACATAAACTGCTTCCAACTTTCAGCAACAAGAAAGAACCGTGTGACTTTCTGCATCCTGGGGATCAACTTAGTGTCCCTTCCCCAGGCGGCCGTTAGGGCTTGAGGCTGGCGCCAGTGGGAAGCACCAGGAGCCACTCGGTCCCTTAGGTACCGTGTGGAATTTCTCAATCTAATTTTGTTTAGTTTGGGGGAACTTTTTTCTTTTAGATTTTTGGTCCTTGGGAAAAAAATTTCTCCCTGTGGTTTCTCTCCTATTCACCCTCAGTAATCGCCGCTTTTGAGAAAGACTTTCTCCGTTTTCCCATAAAACCAAAGCATGGCAGACATCCTTTGTGTCTGGGTCCTACTCCCACTGCCTGCTGTCACCTCAAATCCTTTCTTCACCCAGGGCTTGCCCTTCTGTCCTCGATGGAGATCCTTCCTGCAGAATCCAGCTGGACGGCTACCTTGATGACTAGAAAGACAGGGTTGCATGTGGCCTGAGTCCTGCCCACAAGGTCCCAGGAATGCCCTCTGCCTCATGGAGCTCAGGCGTCGTAGTAGTGTCTATGTGTGTGAGCATCCAGTTCCCTCTGATGTAACCTTTGTTGTCCTGTGTCCCTTCTCCCCTGTGGGCACTTGTAACTCAACACCCTTCACGGGATGTTCCTCAACTGTCACCTGGGTCAACCATATTGTACGATGCCATGTGGCCTTCCTTCTTCAAACAGCGCTTCATCTTCCCATCTTCCCATGACTTCCGTTGTGACGATTTTATGAAGAGACACTTGTACCCTATTCTTTGGCCGCCAGACTACTGGGAACCCCAAGAAACTGGAATTCCTCTGGGAATCTCCAGCTGTTAGACAGAGAAGCCTGGTGCTAGCCAGAGTCCCCCAGGAAGAGATTTCACACAGTTCGGACTGCATGTCACACCGCCTCCCTCGCAGGAGACTAGAGCCCAGGTGGAGACTGGAGCCCAGGTAGTGGTGGCTCAGTGATGGGCGGGGCCACACCTTGACCAGATCTGCTTCTCTGTGCATCTACTTGCTCTCTATTTGATCTTGAACCTCATGCCAGGATCCTGGAGATAGACTTGGGGGCCACTAGATCCCTTTGTTCTTCCCACTGTGGTCACAAAGAATAAATCTTCTTTCTCTCCTTTCATTGCTACTTCTTTAACTGGGGAGGGGTAGCCCCGGCTAACTTTTTATAGCTGCCAGGACTCAGGCTTTGACTCCGGCTACCCCATAACATTCTCCCTGACGGTTCTCTCACACAGCTGCCCACCTAATGTTTGCTAGCCATCCTTCTTCTTTTTTCTTCAGCTGTGTGTGTGTGTGCATGTGTGTAAGAATGTGCCTATGAATATACATGAATGTGTGTATATGTGTGTACAGGTGTGAATGTGTGTATACATATATGTGTGTACGTGCGTGTGTGTACACGTGTTTGTGTGTATGAGCATGCATGTGTGTACAAGTGTGAATGTGTATGTGCACATTCATGTACGTGTGTGAGTGTATGTGCTGGGTCAGGAGCAAGCAGCCTGTGAGTCAAGCTCCTTTAAAGGCTTCCACTGATTTGCTGTGAGCATGGACAGGTCCCCTGCCAATCAGAACTTCTGCCACAGTGGCCCTCTACACCCCACAGGTGGAGTCCTAGGTATTCACTGACTACATTTCACTCTCAAGAAGGACAGGGGCATTTCCACAATTCCCCTGTGGGTGGGGGTAGGGGCTTAGATAGGCTAAGTCCCAAGCAAGCCCCGAATGTGTGATCCTCGCCAGGATCTGAGACCCAGACAGACATGAGAATAGGAGTGCGTATCCCCCAGCTTCCTAGCCCACACAGCACAAAACATCACTTGACACAGCCTCTGTGAGGAGTAAGAAGAAGTTGGTACCATTGTGTGGCAGTAGCCTGCATGCTGAAAGAATTGGACATGACCATCAGCAACATGACTGCCTGAGAAATGGGTACAAAGTGGGGCAAAGCTGTCCCAGTGGTGGACAAAGTTCCCCTGTCATCCCAAGCCCTGGTTTCAAGCATCCTGCCATGCCCTGCCCTTCGAAGGTGACAGTGAACCTGAGTCTCAAGAACATGCCTGTTATGACTCCAAGAAAGCTGAGTGTCTTCTGAAAATAGGGTCAGGGTGTCTGCAAGTAAGATCTGAATCTAGGCCTGTAACTTCCAGGCCACAGAGTCTGTGTCCTTTCTCTGGGAGGACTCACCAGCCACACTTAGAGGACAGAGTACAAAGTACCACCAGGATCAAGGATGAGTTCCACGTAACCATAGAAAACCAGTGTACATTGCACAACCAGGATCAGGGATCAGTATCCAGGCAAACAGCCAGCCAGTGTGCAGTGTGCATGTAGAATCGGCCAAGGTAAGTGACTAATGTTCAGAATGTGACCAGGATTGAGGATCAATAATCCAGACAAACCTAGAGAGCCAGTGTGCAGCATGCAACCAGGACCAAGGGTCAGTGTCCAGGCAAACAAGAGACAAACCATGTACGATGTGTAATCCGAACTGGGAGTCAGCAGAGTCAGAGCCAGAGCCACCCATGCTTGGCTGAGAAACCAGATACCAGCTCTGGGCAGGAACTCACCCTGGGGAAGCTGTTGCCTCATTCTCAAGGCCTTTAGCTCCTGCCTTCTTACAAAAACCAAGCCAAACAGGATTTGGGGTGGGGCTAAGCTGATCAGCCAACGTCACCATCCAGGTGACAGTCTCCAGGCACAACCCAAGGGGTCTGCAGGTTTTTGCAGCCCTCTGCATCCTACTGGAAGATGGACAGATTTCCTGGAGGCTACTGAGCGTATTTCTTCTGTAGAGGCTTCACCTCAGACCGGCAGGTGTTCAAGAGGAAGTGAGGCAGTTCCATGTCTTTCTGAGAATCATGGAGAGATGTGACTGCAAATGTACCCCAGTTGACAGGGTCACAGGGACAATCTGAGACATACCTCTGGGATCTGTGGCCTTTGGCCCCCAGGCAGCCCACCCACAGCTCAGAAGGTATATAGGGGGAGGTGAGGGAGAACAGGAAACCCGGTGGGAA